CGTCATTCTGAACGACATCATCAGCACAAACTTCGGGTAGAAGTGAAGTGTTTGAATTTCTCCACATGTGATTCACAGCTTGTCCTCTGCACCTCGATGTTGATTGGTTCTTATTGACCTTAAATCTGTCATTGTTTAATTCTTTGTTTTGATTGTCTCTCCTATTGTTTTGATTTTTGTTCCTATGTTCCTGCATAATTTTCTTGATTGGTTGATAGATTGGATTGATTTCAATATGTTTGTTTATTGCTGATTGACCTGAGTGCCAAGCTTCTAAAAATTCTCTGGTATTTTTGGAATTGCCTCTGTCCAAAATCTGCACATTTTCCCAGTCGAATGTATGTCCGTAGTTGTCCACGTGTATTGATATGAGTGAAGAAATGTCGTGGCGTTTGACTGCTAATTGGTGTTCATGTAGGCGAAGATGCAGGGGGCGTCCGCTTTGTCCAATATAGTGTTTGTTGCAGTTGGTACAATTTATCTTGTAGATGATGTTTGTTTTGTTCTCTTTTGCCATTTCATCTTTTGGTTTGCATAAGATTGAGTGGAGGGACTTTGTTGGTTTGTGGGCTACACCTATTCCGAAGGTTTTCAGCAGCCTTGTTGTCGTTTCCGATATGCCCTTTATGTATGGTAGGGTGATCCGTTTGTTGATTTTTATACTTGACTTCATTTCTGATGGTGTGTGCGACTGGTATTTTTTGATGAAATTGATTGGATAGCCGTTCTTTTGAAGAAAACCATTCTTCAAAAGGCATATCGGAAACGACAACAAGGCTGCTGAAAACCTTCGGAATAGGTGTAGCCCACAAACCAACAAAGTCCCTCCACTCAATCTTATGCAAACCAAAAGATGAAATGGCAAAAGAGAACAAAACAAACATCATCTACAAGATAAATTGTACCAACTGCAACAAACACTATATTGGACAAAGCGGACGCCCCCTGCATCTTCGCCTACATGAACACCAATTAGCAGTCAAACGCCACGACATTTCTTCACTCATATCAATACACGTGGACAACTACGGACATACATTCGACTGGGAAAATGTGCAGATTTTGGACAGAGGCAATTCCAAAAATACCAGAGAATTTTTAGAAGCTTGGCACTCAGGTCAATCAGCAATAAACAAACATATTGAAATCAATCCAATCTATCAACCAATCAAGAAAATTATGCAGGAACATAGGAACAAAAATCAAAACAATAGGAGAGACAATCAAAACAAAGAATTAAACAATGACAGATTTAAGGTCAATAAGAACCAATCAACATCGAGGTGCAGAGGACAAGCTGTGAATCACATGTGGAGAAATTCAAACACTTCACTTCTACCCGAAGTTTGTGCTGATGATGTCGTTCAGAATGACGATGAAAGCTCCACGACCAAACCATCCAGCTCAGAGAACAAACCAACATAAAAATCACCCACCTGAGCTACAAATCTTCTCCACCATCTCAAACTCGATTATTGCTTGGTATGTTAAATATTATTGAACATCGGAAGCTCTCATTTATCTTTCTGTTTCAAGGTTTTTCTCATTAGTGCAAGGGTTCTGATAGCAGAAGTACAGAAGTACATGTATAAATCTCGTGACTGATAAACGAAATTTTATACTATGTAATACCTAATGAATCTTCAGTGATGAACAATGATTGAAGGATAGATTCTTTTCATTGCATTAGATTTAGATCATCTATTTCACAGTCCATTGTATATTAGTAACTAGATTAGAAACGGAACTTAGCGTAGTTTATAAATAAATTAAAAAAATTAGTGTAGTTTAATTTAAAACGATAGATTTGATCAAAAATATCATGATGTAAGCTAATCCAAAGTGGTGTTCGTCAGAGCTGTCCACTCTCCCCATTCTTGTTTAACTTACTTGACATGCTTTTAGAGATAACACTTTCATCATCTAAATCTTCAGGAGTTAAACTTTTATCGGGAGGCTCACTTGTTGACTTAGAATACGCCGACGACATAGTTCTGTTTGGTGAAATGCTGACAAAATAAAAAAACTTCTGACCACTCTAAGTAGCAATGCAGGCATTTTCGTGATGCGATTCTCCCTCTGGAAGTGTAAGATGTCACTTCAGGATTGGGTTGCATCGGCACCTGAACTAATGATAGGGAGTGAAGGAGTTGAGCTTGTTGATCGCTTCACCTATCTTGGGAGTCTCATCAACCCTTGTGGTCTGGTGTGTGAAGAAATCTCAGTACAGATACAGAAGGCTCGTCCAGCTTTCGCCAACTTGCGTCATCTGTGGCGTAGGCGAGATATTCGTCTAGAAACCAAAGGACGGGTTTACTGTGCAACAGTTCGTTCCGTCCTACTTTATGACAGTGAAACATGGCCGGTAAGAGTAGAGGATATTCGTAGGCTACTAATATTCGATCGTAGCTGTATTCGAAGCATTACTCGTATATCCCGGGACCACCGAGTAAGTAATGCAGTTGTTATGAAACACGTACTAGGTAAGGATGGCAAATCGATTGATATGTAGTGAAACTTCATCAGTTGAGATGGCTGGGACACGTGTTATGTATGCCCAACCACCGACTGCCTCGACGTGCAATGTTTTATGGTGTAGGAGTAGGTTGGAAGAAAGCTAGGGGAGGCCAGACCAAAACGTGGCATAAATCCATGAAGTCATTGACAATTGGACTGGGCCACACTGGTAGGTGTAGATTACCCGGTTGGGATTCGCGAGATGATAGCAATTGATGGTCAGAGACCTTGAATGACAAGGCTCAGAATCGTTTGCAATGGCGAAGGTGAAGGTACATCACTGCTTGTCTGTAGCAATGAGTATTGTTACACATCTACATGATTTATCCTAACCCATGAACAAATGAATTATTTTAATCTTTCAAGTCGTTTCATCGTCTATGTATATGAATTCGAGCACTTCAGCATGAAAGTGTAATTTTTTTTATATACACTTACCTATATGTCATTCATGTTTATAAATACTGTGTTACTCATTATTTATTGGGCAGGCATGTTTACCATTTTCACCCCTTATCTCTAGTTAACTATTCCCAGTAACAAAATTCAAAATCATTTTCTTATTTGACTGGCTTTATTCCATTATTCACCAACGTGAACAAGTTTATGAAGTTACAAAAATTTAATTGAGGATTTATATTTCATCATTTCTCATTGACGCTAAATGAAGTCAACAACGAGGACCAAGGATATTTTTGGCGAATAATGCACTCGTTGGAACAGTGTTATCAGACAATAAGTATAAAATTCGACAGTGCTCATTTCAACAGCACATACAAATAGGAAGGAAAAAAGAAACAGTATTCTAAAGTTTTTATCTGAGGTCATCTTCGATGTTTCCAATCTTCAACACGTTTTTCGCAAACTGCACTTTCAGTCACTTTTCTGTTAACTGTTTGGGTAACTGCTGGATATTTCAGTGTGACTTTCAGTAAGGTTTCCATTCAAGCTCTAACCTTCACTATATTTGTGTTTAGTCATCTACCATGTCGAGCTGAGTTACATTGATATGTTTATACTAGACATTTGTAGATAACTCCTACCACACAAAGTAAAATGTTTAATGAAAATTATATTGTAATATGCACTCACTCACTAAATGAAAAGAAAAATCACCAAAAAAGCTGGGAAAAACATGTATACTGTACCTTGATAAATAATTCTGCAAACCTAAATCACTTCTTCTTATTAAGTATTCGGAGTAATAATTATGGTAGAATTCAGAGAGTAGCAATAAACTTTTAGTCAAACCAACTTCGTAATTTTCATGATGCTGTTTCACATAGAAATGAAGTAAGCGTAGGATTTGGAACCGTGTAGTTTGTAAAAATTCAGATCAAATTATAAACAAAACAAGAATTGGTATTCTACTTAAAATCATGAATAACATTTCGTAAGAACTGGACAGTTTCGAAAGTTAAATTTACGTAACTGATTACTGATGACAAATTTGAACACTCCAATCATCATGTGGTATATGCTACTCATGTTGTCAAATATAAGTAATATATAACACTTATCAGTAGCAGAATGCCTGGCATCGAGTGAAGTGTTCTGGCGGGGCAGTGTTGACTTCAGCAGTCTCAGTCGACGGAGAGAAGGATTGGGACATCCAGTCGCTGGGTGGACATCGGATGTAGATCGCCCGACAAATGGACAATGTTACGAAGGTCAGTGCACCGGCGGATTCGATATTTCGACGGACAGCGTGGCACAGACTAAGGCAAAGAAGGATGTATAACTGCAAGAGTGACTTTCTTTTAAAGGAGAGACGAGAGTGGTGTATGCTACTTCTGTTGACAGATATGGGTTGTACGTAACACCCATCAGAAGTGGAATGCCTGACAGCAGAAGATCTAACTGAAGACAACAGGAATGAAGGAACAATTAAGTATGTAAGAAACAATTCAAAGGAGATGTACAAATAATCTAGTTAATGTAAGGTTTTCCTATTACAAGAAGATATTCATAATTGATTTATGAAGATATAATTCGTAATGCAATTCAAGCTAAATTCACTCAGAAAGTGATTATAAACTTTAATGTATCTAAAAATCTTCGAAATCACTATATGACAAAACATGAGTAAAAAGCTCTAATACCCATCTTATATTATTATCAAGTGATTGCTTATTGACTCTATAACTAAAATCGATTGATGAATCTGACCACCGAATTAATTGTTCATATACCCTGATTCTCTGTTAGCACCAATCAATTCGCACATTTAGATCAGATTATTATAAGAAAATTAATAAATGACACCTTTAAAATCACGTATTTCTTTATCTACCTAGACACTCTAATACTATAGTCACTTTCAAAGTCTACAACTTTATAGATATATATAAGTTGTTAAAAACCGATTGGTTAAAGACATGTCTCTCAAATTATGACACTATTCTGATCTGAACTGAGAATCGATCTGTATTTGTAAAAATAGTTTAACACAACAAACCACCTGTATACAATCAGTTCCATAAATGTCTGAGACCATTGGGATTTGGCACAAAGCATGTTGTATTTCAAAACGATTAGATGGGAAGTTAGCCATTGTTACTGGATCAAACACTGGTATCGGGTTAGTGACAGCTAGTGAATTAGCTCGTCGTGGTGCTCGAGTCATCATGGCATGTAGAAATCTACGAAAGGCTGAGGATGCCAAAAGACGTCTATTGGAGAAATATGGTGCGAATAATCCACAGAGTGTGAACATAGATGTAGCGTGTGAACAAGTGATTTCATCATTGAATCCAATCAACTGTGATCAAGTGAGTCCATGGATTTTACAATCGATTCAAGTGAATACGTACATAACTATTTGATATTGGTTTATGTTATTGTGCAAGTGTGATGTTTTCATCTAAATGATGCTTTTGAACAAACCTGAAATCTCTTGAGCATATGACAAAACTTCCATGCATCCATAGACGAACCCCTTACATTGTGGAGTCGATATGCTAGTTTATCAATCTGTCCTACAATAAGATTTAGTAGGGTCATTTAATCTTCCCACATTACCCAATATAGTCAAAATGAAAACAGAATACACACATTCGATTCCACGTTACTTCTGAGTATAACGAGATTCAAACACCAGTTTTCATCCACATTGACTAAATCACGAATCATTGAAGTGCATGTTAATGTTGCATTTAACAGTCAATTACTCAATGATCTGGATACAATATCTTCGAGTGTAGGAGCAAAGTACTTGACTACAATGTAGAATATGAATTGTGTTGTTTGACCTGATTAACAAAGAAGATCCATATGATCTATATTAAACATGAGAGCACACACACTGACGATGTACAGCAATAAGTATCTACTACAAACATCATCCAATCAGTCTTGTTTAGTTGTGCATCTCCCTAATGGAACTGATTAGTATTGGAGTATGAAAACTCATTGTAACATTAGTCATGATTTAGTTTTTGGAGGTGCGTGGACTCTACACATCGTAAATATACAACATATGGTGAATCATGAAGACGACTTCTTTTTCGATTGAAATAAAAGCCATATTAACGATATCTGAAAGCTCGGTTAATAAATCTACGTAAGTTGAATTATCTCGTATAATTGGAAAGGGAAGGTACAACGTTACAAAATGTTATGATTGAGATGAATTACAAAGCATTTGTAATGCCTTCTATGTCCAAAGAAGGTATTGGGGTGTTACAAATTTATCGATAGGTTCGAATTTTTATAGCTTCTGCTATATGTACGGGACAAGATCGAACCTCATTGAGAAACAATAAAGGTATACGGTAGATAATTCGAAGTGACTGAGTTTCATTTATCACATGACCTCTGTCGACCGAATGTGGTAAAATTGAACTAAATATTATCTTCCTCTGACTTTTTCCAAACCATGTCAAGAGATGTGCAATTATTCGTTTGTTCAGTTGACTGGTATTACGCACAATATGGCTATCTCTACAGGAACAGCTAGATTTGTAAGTTCAGAACTAAAGGTTCGTGTATACTAACATACTGAAGAGCTCTTTCTCCATACTTTTTTGCTTAACGAATCATCTTCCTATCTTGTCAGCAAGATACTTAAAGAATATAATTTATTGTCATACTCGTTCTCAAAATTGAGAGTGATCATTGGGTATACACTAATAAACTAAATTAAGAATTCTTCTTCATTAATATTCTGATTTATGATGACAATCGTATTGCTGATGTAACGGCATTATACTTACTTACTTACTTACTTACTTACTTACTTACTATACTTTCACCTGTTACGCCCAATGGAGCATAGGCCGACGACCAGCTTTCTCCGACCCACTCTGTCCTGGGCCTTCTTTTCTAGATCTATCCAGTTCTTGTTCATTCTTCTCATGTTTGTCTCTATTTCTCGGCGTAATGTGTTCTTTGGTCTTCCTTTCCTCCTTTGACTTTCAGGATTTCATGTGAGGGCTTTTCTTGTGACACAATTAAGTGATTTCCTCAAAGTGTGCCCAATCCACTTCCAGCGCTTCCTCCTGATTTCTTCCTCCACTGGATGGAATCTGGTTTGTTGTCTCCCACAGTGACTTGTTACTGATAGTGTCTGGCCATCGGATCCGAAGTATCTTGCATAGACAGCTGTTAATAAACACTTGTATCTTCTGGATAATGGCTTTCGTAGTTCTCCACGTCTCCGCCCCATACAGTAGAACTGTCTTCACATTTGTATTGAAAATTCTAACCTTGGTGTTGGTTGACAATTGTTTTGAGCTCCAGATGTTTTTCAGTTGTAGATACGCTGCTCTTGCTTTGCCGATCCTCGCCTTCACATCTGCATCAGATCCACCGTGTTCATCAATGATGCTGCCCAGATATGTAAAAGTTTCCACATCCTCCAAAGCTTCTCCATCAAGTGTAATTTGATTGGTGCATATTGTATTGTATCGGAGAATTTCGCCTTTTTCTTTGTTTATATTGAGACCTACTGTTGCTGAGGCTGCTGCTACACTGGTCGTTTTCTCCTGCATTTGTTGTTGCGTTTGTGATAGAAGAGCCAGATCATCCGCGAAGTCCAAATCATCAAGCTGCATCTTGCCTGTCCACTGTATCCCGTGCATTCCTTCAGTCGTTGACGTCTTCATGATCCAGTCGATGACCAGGAGAAAGAGAAACGGTGAGAGTAAGCAACCTTGCCTAACACCAGTCTTTACTTCAAACGAGTCGGTGAATTGTCCTCCGTGGACGATTTGACAGTTTAGTCCATCATAGGAATGTCCTATGATATTGACTATCTTCTCAGGCACGCCGTAGTGTCGAAGAAGCCTCCATAGTGTCGTCCTGTCCACACTATCAAATGCCTTCTCGTAGTCGATGAAGTTGATGTAGAGTGATGAGTTCCATTCGATTGATTGTTCCACAATGATACGTAGAGTTGCGATTTGATCTGTGCACGATCTATTCTTACAAAATCCAGCTTGTTGATCTCGAAGTTGGGCGTCCACGGAATCCTTCATCCTGTTTAACAATACTCCGTTGAAAACGTTTCCTGGTATTGAGAGAAGAGTGATGCCCCTGTAGTTGTCGCACTTGCTCAGATCGCCTTTCTTTGGTATCTTGATGAGAAGTCCTTCTTTCCAGTCTGTTGGTACTTGTTCTTCATCCCAAATCTTACTGAAGAGGATGTGTAGTATCTTGGCAGTTGCTGCTACATTTGCTTTCAGTGCCTCTGCAGGGATGTTGTCTGGTCCCGCTGCTTTGCCGCTCTTGATTTGTCTAATGGCCATGCTGATCTCTTCAATTGTTGGTGGGCCAACGTCGATTGGGAGGTCTGTGGGTGCTGCTTCGATGTTGGGTGTGTTCAGTGGAGCTGGTCGATTCAAGAGTTCTTTGAAGTGTTCTACCCACCTGTTTCGTTGTTCTTCAATGTCGGTGATTACTTTGCCTTCCTTGCTTTTCACTGATCTTTCTGGTTTACGGTAATTTCCAGCAAGTTTCTTTGTTGTATCATACAATTGTCTCATGTTTCCCTCTCTTGCAGCCTTTTCCGCTGTCATCGCTAAATCTTCCACATATTTACGTTTGTCGGTTCTGATGATCCTCTTCACTTGCTTGTTTGCCTCTGTGTATTCGGCTTGTGCCTTGGCTTTTTCCGCTCTTGTTCGGCTGATATTGATTGCTGCCTTCTTGTTCCTCCTTTCTTCAACTTTATCCAGTGTACCAACAGTGATCCATTCCTTATGATGGTGCTTCTTTTGGCCCATAACCTCTTGACATGTTGAAACGATTGTCTCCTTGATACCTTTCCAGTTGCTCTCCATGGTAGTCCCCTCTCCATTGAGTAAATCATGAAAGGCCTGGAACCTGTTGCTGAGGGCTATGTTGAATTTGTCAGCATCTCGAAGAAAGGCCGTATTAAACTTTTGTGATGTTGTCCGCGCCGTTGTCCAGTGCTTCTTGAGTTTTAGTTTCATCTTGGCGACCAGCAAATGATGATCGGATGCTATATCAGTTACTCTTCTGGTTCTCACATCCTTCATCGTTCTCCTGAACATTTTGTTGATGCAGATATGGTCGATTTGATTCTGTGTAGTGTGATCCGGTGAAATCCAAGTGGGTTTGTGTATGCTTTTGTGTGGGAATATGGTGCCACCTATGGCCAGTTTATTGAAGGCACATAGGTTTGCAAATCTCTCACCATTTTCGTTCCTTTCTCCCAGTCCATGTCACCCTATGATTTCTTCATATCCAGTATTGTCCATTCTAACCTTGGCATTTAGGTCTCCCATCAGAATGTTCAGGTCCTTGGTTGGGCATTCCTCGAAGATCGACTGCAACCTGTCGTAGAATTGGTCTTTAGCGTCTTCATCGTAGTCGTTGGTAGGCGCATAGTATTGGATGACGTTCATTGTAATGCCCTCTCTCTTTGTTTTGAAGGAGGCTTTGATGATCCTCGGTCCATGAGATTCCCATCCTATAAGTGCATTTTGTGCTTCTCTGGACAGCATCAATGCAACTCCTTGTGTATGTGGGGCATTTTCTTCTTCATGACCGGAGTATAACAGAAGTTCTCCTGAAGACAGTCGTTGTTGTCCAACCTGCGTCCAATGTGTTTCACTGATTCTAAGAACCTCCAGGTTGTATTTTCTCATTTCTGCAGCAATTTGGAAAACTCTTCCGGTCTCCCACATTGTCCGGACATTCCATGTACCTATGAAAATTGTTGCTCTGGTTGTAAGAAGGTGCATCGGCCTCATGACTTCCGAAGGAACTCGGCTTTCATCATGAGACGTCATTATTCCTTCTACTCCCAGGGCAGAGTTTGAATGGTTTGAATGATTTTTTCTGGTTAGCGTTTTTTTAGCGAGTTGATTTTCTACGGGATGGGGTTACTAGCCCCATGCCCAACCCTCCTTCTTTACCCGGGCTTGGGACCGACAGTAACCCCCAGAGGAGCTACAGGCGGAGTTAACGGCAGTATAGATCTAGTTTATTAATAACTTTCGTGACGATTTCAACTTTTAATTTTTCTAGAAAAAAATAATTTACATTTGAACCTAAAGGTGAGTCCGTGGTTATCCTATTAATCCTTGTTTCATATTGTTGAGAACAAACTGAACTTTATTTACAGATCATCTTTTGGAAAGCTAGTGTAAATTTATTTTCCTGATATTTGCTTGCATACAAACTCGGTTATCTCAATTATTGGAGCATTTGTGGATAAAGCTACAACATTTATAGTAACTATCTTTTCTGCCCACAAACTTCTTTGACCAGTCCTATATTTGCTTATACCTTCATATAAATAGTACTTCGTATTAGAGTAAGGCCTGATGAAGAATTATTTGGAAACAATATTGTCTACTTGTATATATTGTTTTAGCTTCATTTTCATCACATGTGGTCCATAGTTATTATCTTCACAAAACATACTTCAAACTTATCTTTCAGCTAATCATTGAACAACTTGATTTAGCTTCTCTACAATCAATCAGAGAATTCGTCAGACGAATCACAATCAAATATTCAGAACTTCATTTTCTCATTAACAACGCAGGTCTCGCAGTTAGTAAACAGAAAGAAACTGTTGATGGTTTTGAAATGACAATGGGTGTTAATTACTTTGGACATTTTCTCCTAACAGAATTATTATTACCTTTGATAAAACGTTCAACTCCATCTAGAATCATCATTCTCTCATCAGCGTCACACTACAAAGGACGTTTAATTAAACCAGATTTGCAAGTTCAACCAAAGGAATATAATGAAGCAAAAGTTTATTGTTCATCAAAGTTAGCCAATGTAATGCATGCTGTTGAATTAAGTGAGCGATTGAAGGACAGTGGAATCACTGTTGTTAGTGTCCATCCTGGTACTGTAAAGACTGAAATTTTACGAGACGTGGAAAGTATTGTGCTAGTAAGTTGGAATGATTAATAAAAACCAAACAACTTTTAATTTTTAGTGATTGGTATCCTACTAACTTATTTACTTACGTCCATTAACCCCCCGTGGAGTAGTATAAGGCCCCCATCACGATTCTCCAACCAACTTCATGCTTTCCAATCGTTTCCAACTCCCATTCATTCTTTTGATGTCTACCTCCAAATGTGAATGCTTCCACCTCTTTCAGAGTTTCTCCATCAAGTGTGATTGCGTTGGTGTTGTCTATGTTGTCATTGAAGATGTTGCTTTTTCCCTTATGTATGTTGAGGCTTGCTGCTGTAGAGGCTGGTTCTACACTGGCTATCTTGGCCTGCATTTGGTGCTGTGAATGGCATAGAATGGCTAAGTCATTTGTAAAGTTCAAAGCGTCTAGATGCATCCAGATATCCTATTTGAGGATGGAATATGTTTCATGTTTTTGAAACACATGTAAACTGATGTAAGAAAAATATCGTAATTCTGGGCAAATTGAACAGTTCTACACCCATTGAAGTTTTATTCAGCATCAAATATGAACCTCACTTGAAGCATCTTCAGTTGTAGATACGCTGCTCTTGCTTTGCCGATCCTCGCCTTCACATCTGCATCAGATCCACCGTGTTCATCAATGATGCTGCCCAGATATGTAAAGGTTTTCACATCCTCCAAAGCTTCTCCGTCCAGTGTGATTCGATTGATACCTATTGTATTGTATCGGAAAATTTCGCCTTTTTCTTTGTTTATATTGAGACCTACTGTTGCTGAGGCTGCTGCTACACTGGTCGTTTTCTCCTGCATTTGTTGTTGCGTTTGTGATAGAAGAGCCAGATCATCCGCGAAGTCTAAATCGTTCGGCTGCATCCTAGCTATCCATTGTATCCCGTGCTTCCCCCAGATGTTGATACCCTCATATTCCAGTCGATGACCAGGAGAAAGAGAAACGGTGAGAGTAAGCAACCTTGCCTGACACTGGTCTTTACCTTAAAGGAGTCTGTGAACTGTCCTCCATACATGATTTGGCAGTTTAATCCATAGTAGGAATTCCTCATGATATTGACTATCTTCTCAGGCACGCCGTAGTTTCGAAGAAGTTGGGTGTCTACAGAATCCTTCATTCTATTTAACAACACCCCGTTGAAAACTTTTCCTGGTATTGAGAGAATACTCCACCTGAAGCCTCCCTGGAATTACTACCGGTCCCAAGCCCGGATAACGGAGGAGAGTTGGGTGTGGGGTTAGCGACCCCATCCCGTAGAAAACTAACTCGCTAAGAAAACATTAACCAGAAAATAATTCAAACAGTAACTAAATGACTCAGGTAAAATGGGTATGACTCACATGTTAAGCTATTCATTGATGAATCATCTCAAATACCTCTCATCGAAATCACCTACTTCAACATAATGTAATCCCTTTACTGGTCGAGTTGATATTTCTTATCTATTAAATGGATATTTCATGCCAGATGTTTTATTCCAGATGAATAAATTATTCTTTCTTATTTTTATTTAGAAATGTATCATTGCAGTGAATAGGCCAAGAGTAATTAGTCCATGGAAAGGAGTACAGACTACATTGTACACAGTATTGTCAGACAACTTAATCTCTGGTGGTTACTATTCAAATTGTGCATTGAAAGAACCGTCAAGAATAGTCAAAAATAAGGAAGAAATAATATGGTTACGGAATAGAACACGTAAACTCCTTGGAATAGATAAATTAGTGACTGCTAGTGATTAACAAAATGTAATTGCATAAAACTGGAAATGTTGCTATTCTACTTATAAATAAATTTATGATATGTTATAATCTTCCTTAACATTTAAAACTTGGTTGGCATATTTTGCTTAACTTCAACCAGTTACTCGGTTACAAAATAAACTAGTTTTTCTAGTTGTCCAGTAAGAGATTTGAGTGTCTGTAATGCCACTGGCCAACGTTGTACGTATCACATTATGGTAATTAGAAGCATTCAAACTGGTTTGCTAACTAAGACTTCACAAAATAGTGCAGTTTAAACTAGTAGAACTAGATAAGCACATCTGTGATTCGTAATAAGCACACAATCAAGTACAAAAGAATCTTCAGTTAATACAAATACCACATGAATTCAAATGAAAATACATGGAGGGACAGGATTAATAACATGCTCGTTTTCATGCTATGCAGTTGTCACTACATATTACTTTTTCTACTCACTTTTACTGAACGAATAAAATTACACATTTGTATCTCAAATAAAACACCACATGTTTTCAGTAACTTATGTCGATACCTGAGTGATGTTTTGGTCAAAAATTGAAATCACTGCTTCTATCTTATAATAAAACTTCCACTAGTTTAACAAGACCACAAGGAACAAAGAATAGGAAAAATACAATTTTGTAATAGGATAGAAAAACGGGGTACAAAAGTCACGTCTAAATGACAGTAATTTTAGAATAGGAAAGAACATAATAGTGATTTATGCATAAAACGGAACCTTATGATTCATAGAAAACAAAAGGAATGAAACTAAAATGTCAGTATTATACTGACTTTTAATTCAATGAAGCGGTGTCCTCAAAAATAGCTTCTCTTATTCGTTATAGCTTTTTTATTTTTCTCCTCATATCAGAAACGATACTATACTGGAGTACTTAGTTCACCGAAAAGCTAGTTAGTTCGAAATGAAACAGAGAGATAGCAATAGCCCGTTGATAAGTTAAGTATCAGTAGAGTTGTATTCTATAATCATCAATGAACAATCAGGATCTGGTGTAAAGGCAAGCATTGGCAAAGTAAGGACAGCATTGCTACAGTTGAAGAGTATATGGAACTCAAAACAACTACCAACCAACATCAAGGTCACAATCTTTAACACGGACGTCGAGACAGTCTTACTGTATGGATCTAAAACTTTGATAACTACCACAACCATCGTCAGAAATTTACAGGTGTTTATAAATAGTTGTCTACACAAGATACTACCAGAAAAAATCCACTGTTGGAGAGAACAAACCAGTGCGTGCATAAGTAATTTCAGAGCCACAAACAACGGAAAAAGTATTTTTCTGGTACACTTAAACAAAAGGGTACATGTTTATCAGCCTCATCACTGACCATAATCTATGGAATTTCCTGGAGAGGAAGTGGTAGAATCCCACCACTCCCCTAAATTCGTCTGTTTAAGTGGCTCATCAACAATTGGGGACGTTTTTGAGAACCTCAGACTAGTTTCTTCTCAAAGTACAACATACCTTTGCTTAATAACCTTCTGCACACCCTCACTGTCTTACAGTAAGCGGATATGAACCGTTTGGGGTCTGTGGATATAGATATATTCCACTGTCTCTTCCTACATCTAAGAAGCCGCTTGATTTACCTGCTTTACATAGTGAACATTCTTAGTGATGTTTTACATGGTAAAAATGGGGACGTAATGTAACTCGATGTATCTTTAAAGTTAAACCATACCTCATCGATTGACGAGCTAGTATCAACCTTCTAGTATTTTGCGGCGTCAAGCTCCTTTATGGCCGAAGTATTTGTTTGCCACACACTTATTTGAGATTGAACTGTCAAAAGCCTCGGAACTTAAATGGCAAAACCTAATGGTGACTGTTGTATGGTGGTGTGGAGACAACTAGACAGATAGCTTCGATTTTTTGTGTGGGTCCCGATTTCAACTAAGATCCTTTATTCCGTCTGGAACGTGTAGGTTCGGATACATGGTGTTCTGAGGTATGCTCCCAAACAGTCATAATGAGCTTATTCTAGAATGCATTGTCTGATCCTGCAGCCGCCAGATCTTCCCAACTCACATCAAGCGTACTTATAGTTAAAACCAGCCTCACAACTATTGATTAATCAAGGGCACACAGCTATATAACGAAGAGAAACTCCTATATCATCAGCGTTAGTGGGTTATATGCCAGCGTCACAGATAATATCTTGCAACTCGGCACTCTAGTAACACAAATACAATGCAACAGTCCTCTGAAAAGCAAAGAGGAGGCCATTCTGGACTCCTCAGAACTAACATATGTTCAACGGCCTGGTATGTTTCTACAGACGGTTCATACAGAATTGCGCGTCTCTCATGAAACTCTTAGCCTACCAACTCCGAGGAAGTGTGAAACTCATCAATTTCGACGACATCGCAAAAACATAATTCTCCACAGTAAAGGAACTTATCGCCAAATGAGAAATACTCTCAAACCAGAACACCAAAACACTCATCGGTAACTCAGTAGACACATCCGACTCGGTGATCAGCGGAGTTTTATGTAGGATGCAAGTTCCGACAGGTGCGACTCCAAGCTATTCTCTAGACTGTCAAGCACAGAGTCTCGGTTTCACCAAAGTCAGAACAAGTAAGCTATTTGGCTTGATAAACTTTATCTGTTTCTAAAACGTAAATTAACAGCATTAGTATACAAATAAACAGTACAGTCTATTACATAGGAAAAAGGAGAGACATTAATAACATACCGAACAGCAACTAGAGGATAGAAAAAATGAGTCAACAAGGCGAATATTGTTTTACAATGAACATAAAATTGTGATTGGTGGATAAACAAGACATAGTCATACATGGTCAAAAAAAGTTGATGTGGTGGTGAGCGTTCCACTTTATCATTAGTGGGTTCGTTTATCGATCTCACTTTACACTCCCTCTGAAACGAGCGCCACGTCCATTGTCCTAGGTAGTCATCGTCGCCGTCAGACAACCGGCTACTTCTTTTAGGCATAGGCTTCGCACATCCCAAACGATTTCTTCATTTGCCGTTCTCAACTTTGCTGCACTAACTCGTCCATCAGGGCCATAGCTTACCTGTTAGACATTGACTTTAGGCCATAGACTTCTACTCGTTTCAACGCCACCAACGAGAACTAGGTCGCCCGGTTGTAAATTCTTGCGTACATTCAACCATTTATCGTTTGTTTGGAGAGTCGGTAGATATTCTCTTATCCACCTATACCAAAATGCAGCAATTAACCTCTAAGCTTCTTTCCACTTTTCATTGTATAATAAAGTCTTATCTACAGAAACATCACCGAATGATAATCCTTCACAAATCAACAGCAATTTATTCGGAGTAAGAGATTGTAGGGTGCCAGGATCATCCGTCATTGTAACTGGTGGTCTGTTATTCAATATCCTTTCTGCCTCAGTTAAGAATGTCTGCACAGCTCCATCGGTCAGCACATTTTGAAATAAAAGCGCTCTTAGAGTTCTTCTAGAAGATCTTATGATGCGTTCCCACACACCGCCTCAATGACTCACCTTAGGTGGTTTGAAACGCCATTTTCATTCTCGTTCTTTAAGGTAGTTCTCTATTTTGTTTTGATCCAAAGAGCATACAATGTGCCTCAAGCTAGCATCCGCACCTCGGAAATTTGGACTTTTATCTTTAAAAATGCGCTTCGGGCATCCTCTTCCGGCAATAAACTTTGATAATACACATAAAAATGAATCCGTGTCTAAAGAGTAAGCCATTTCAATATGAACAGCTCTTATAAGTAAGTACGTGAATAAAAAGCCATAACGTTTCTCAAAGACTCTCCCTCGTTTGGTGTAGAATGGTCCAAAGTAATCCACACCTACTTGGCTAAAGAACAGTGATCAAGTCTCCAGTCGGTACTCCGGCAACGGCGCCATTATTTGGGAGCATGGAATAGAGTAAAGTCTCCTACTTAAGTAGCATCGTTTTAGAACCTTCCGGACGGCAGAGTATCCTCTGACGATCCAATACTATTCACCAATACCACTTAAAGTTTGAGTAACTCCGACGTGTGCGTTAATCAAATGATGATGCGTTATAACCATATCTGTGACAAAGTAATTATTAAGAAGAAGAATCGGATGATTGGTTCCAAAAAGTGAACATGATAATTGCAGACGTCCTACCATGCGGATCTTGCCTTATAACATAAAGGAGTTGAAACTTCTTATCGAACTTTGACGAATTAAATTTTTTTCTCTCGACCATTTCGTTCATTCTTTCCTGGCCTTCCTGCTGTCTAGAAGCGTTGTCTCTGAGGGTTAACGGTGAACTGTCTTGAATTCTTTTTTCGACCGGGAATACGGCACGTTAGACTAGCTTAATTATGTCACTCTTCGATTTGCCGATATCCTCAACACTTAGGGCGCCGAAGATTGGACATTTTCCATTTTCTTGTTTAGTGTATTATCAACAAACCGCCTGCAGTGTTAAAACACCCGTTAATAATTTAAACCATGACATACATAGATGAAATCGATCTAGAAATTCGTCTTTACGTTTTGAATATCCGAAATCTTCTGTTGCTATATGAGCCACAGTGTTCGCAACCTTTTCTAGGTTAGTCCATTTATCTTCCTCCCACAGGAATCCCGGCCCTTGTAACCATTTCCTTATCTTAGCTTTATCACTTAGTGATAGTTCATGTGACGCATGATCTGCGTGACTCAATTTACCTTTCACATGACTCCATTGCTTTGGCGTGGATAATTAATATATAGTTGATAACTTGATACAAACCTTTCGAATCTTTTGGTCGTATTTTTTATGCAATAAGGAACAATTAACGAATCCATCAAATAAATGACCGATGAAATGGAAGTATTTAACTGTTCCTTTGCATGCTTTCCTATCTTAGCACACAGAACACAGGCTGCTATTTCAATTCTGGGCAATGTGCCAAGTTTTAAAGGGGGAACTCTAGACTTAGCTAGCGCAAATGAGCAATGAATCTGACGAGAAACACTTTCATAACGAATGTACGTAACAACACCATACTCAAGCTCAGAAGCATTGGCAAAACAATGAGTTTAAGCAGATGATGGTTCAAACCTTACTTTCAGACATCTTGGTACTCTTATTTAGTCCGACTCTTCTATGTGTCTACACAAAATATTCCACTTCGCTTGACAATCGGTGGGTAATTCTGTATCTCCGTCTAATTTCTACCGACAGGTGTCTGGTAAGATAACTTTGGCTGGTAGTATTATTTGGGGCTATAAAATCAACTGGAACATAGATAGATGCGACCTACGACAAAATATTTCTTTTGGTTAGGCTTCCATGAAGCTCATGAACTTTGAAACATAATTCGTCTGTCCGAACGTTCCACTCTATTCCCAGCGTTCCTTTACTCGTCTTATTGCACTCAGAGACAGCAATGTTTCCTTAGATACAGTCTTACTTCGGAATGATCTCTAAAACTTGAATATTATTACTAGTCTATTTAGTTAAGTTAAACCCTCCCAAACTCAGGAGTCTTTTGAAATGTGAATATGTCAGTTTGGTTTTTTCTATAGCATCCACACTTATCAATAAATCGTCCACGTAGAACTGTTCCTTAGCTGATTGCGTAACAACCTCAGGAAACTTATCTTGGTTATCAGAAATCGTTTTCTGCAAGGCAAACGTGGTGCAACATGAAGATGCGGTTGCTCCGAACAGATGGACTTTCATTCTGTAGACCTCTGGCTCCTCTTATAAGAGATCCTTGCTGCATTGTAAGCTGCGCTTTCCCCTCTAAAACCCCAACATACCTATTGTCACTATTACTGCCGCGCTTGACGAATAGTCCATATCGGATATTAGCCATATATGCTTATTTCTTCACAAACTCAGTAAGATTGGCGAACAGAGGCTCACGACCTCCTCTGATAATCTTATAAGCTACCCTTATCCATTTTTGTTGAACATGTGTCGGTAATTTCAGAACCATAGTTTCAATAGTTCTAGAATAGTTCAGGTCAAAAACATAATTCATCTGTTGGAGAGTCAGACCTCAAGTCTTCATTTCTCCAGACAACCTTCTTAAACTATCTGGTTGGTTCCTTCTTATATTGGGAAAATTTAACAAGATGTCGATGAACGTGAGTGCTATTAAGTGTTTTTGGTCAAAAGATCCCTCTAAAAGCCTCAGGGCTCGACGATGACCTATCTCCAGTTTTAGTATAGCACAACGAAGGATATCAGCTTTCACTTAGCCGTCACAATATTGAATCAAGTAATTTAGCCCAGCTCTAAATCCAATATTCTCACTCCCGATGCACTCCTCGAAATTTGTAATAAAATTCCAGTAATTTACCGGTGTACTATCAAATCTCAAGATTTCTCTAATTGGTAAATAGGGATTTTTTGATGTTACTCCTCGCAGTTGCTTACTGATCGGTCGGAACCTTCACTTCCTTGACGGCGTAACTTTTCTAGCTCAAATTCTTTTTCCAGCTGGGTTGTACATAACCTAAATAACTCTAGCTCTATCATGTTATTGATTTTGTATTTGTCCTTTTCGAGTTTGTCCTCATCATAAACTCCCAGATGATGGAGTGATAATTCTGGAATCTCATCGGAATCGGAATATTTATTGGAAGTCATTTCGGTAAGCATATCGGAATTACTGTTCGAAACGTTGTAGGAAGCAATTTCCGACAGGTGCGACTCCAAGCTATTCTCTAGACTGTCAAGCACAGAGTCTCGGTTTCACCAAAGTCAGAACAAGTAAGCTATTTGGCTTGATAAACTTTATCTGTTTCTAAAACGTAAATTAACAGCATTAGTATACAAATAAACAGTACAGTCTATTACATAGGAAAAAGGAGAGACATTAATAACATACCGAACAGCAACTAGAGGATAGAAAAAATGAGTCAACAAGGCGAATATTGTTTTACAATGAACATAAAATTGTGATTGGTGGATAAGCAAGACATAGTCATACATGGTCAAAAAAAGTTGATGTGGTGGTGAGCGTTCCACTTTATCATTAGTGGGTTCGTTTATCGATCTCAATATACAGTTAAAACAATGAGCAAACAAGAGCTGGAGACCTTTGACATTCGTCTGAAGACGGTTGCTAGACATCGAATAGAGGCGTAGCACTTTCGGTAATGAACTCCCAACCATGTAATTCGCTGTTCGGCACTTTCAGTACTATGTTGATGGCCGAGAATTCACTTTATTTACCAACCGTAAACCTTTTATGTTCTTTCTGTGCTCATTTTCAGACAAGCGATCCCCTCGAGAGTCTCGTTAACTAGACTGTATCTCACATTTTACTTCAGATATACGACACATTTCTGTGGTGAGCAGCGTAGTGGCAGACGCCTGGTCTCTCATAATTATCTTGAACAATTTCCAAGGAATGTAAAACCTTAAGAATGGACTCGAAAACTGGAGACTTTGCAACTTCGATTTACACAACAACCCTCCAGCGAAAAGTACATGAATATGATAGTGAGTGAGTACAAAAAACCCAACCAATTTTCAGGATCTATTTCTATCACCCCAATAAACGCTGAGTTATGTCAGTGACGAACTAACCGATTTCCACTTGCTGCCATGCCTTTATGGCTTTAATTTTACCACCAACACTCATGATTCAGGAGACTTACTTCACAGACTACAAGGATTTGCGTACAACACTTTTAAGTGAACAGCTTATTCTCACAGGCCTGATCAGCATTCACTAAAATGATATAATAACTGAATTCAAGAGCAGATTAGATACACATATGATAATACTGAAAATAAGCTTATACAGGCTTATGGCCTTATATCTCTTAGGGAGAAAGTTGGAATTTTGTAACGTTCACTCAATACGTATTGAACAGCTGTCAGTTGTTTAAGTCGTTACTGCCATAAAAGGAGGTTCGTTACCTTAGTCGCAGGATGCCTCGACGCAGTTCTTCCTTATATATCCGACATCTCCCTGATACATGCAGGTTTGAAATCCATTCACATTAATCTTACTCTTTTTTAGACATGATGACTTAAGACGCTGCTTTGGCCGTTATGGCAGGATTGTTGACGTGACAATACCCCTCGATTTCTTCACTGGAAGAATGAAGGGTTACGCATTTATTGAATATCCTTTTGCTGTGTAATATTTCATTTTGCATTTTCCTCGCGTCAACTCACTTAATCTCAATGTTTGCCGTATTCGTCTCACAGGCACGACTAAACTCAAGCCAAAATAACCAATAGATTCCAATTGATCGGCTCAGTTGCCAGTCAGTTTCAAAATGTCAACCAATAATCATAGACTCTGTTCGTCACTAAATAAACAATCAGTCTAGTTGAACAAGGGATATGGCAGCTCGCGTACTTACAAAGTACTCAGTGGTCAAAACACATGTATACAATTTCAATCCAATTAAAATTCCAAGTTGGTTAAATTACAAAGTTTCACACAAACCCAATTTGTCGGGATCAGTTGGTCACCGATTGCAGCTGCCAATCTAGTCCAATTGTATTAGTTTGCTAACAAATCTAAGTTGACAAAATCATAGCAGTCCCCCCAATCAATCCAGGTACAATGACATAGGATCCTGTCTCAAGATATTTTTTGGTGAGTATTTTGGTTTATAAATGCTTTTTTGTGTCCTTAACTAACCCCTAACGTTCGAGAATCCTAGAGACGCTGAAGATGCTCATTACTACATGGACCACACACGGTTCATGGGTCGCGATATCGAAGTCGAGTTTACCCGAGGTTATCGTAAAAGTAAGGATACTTTAGTTTCTGAGTTCCTTGTCTTATGTATTTATGTAATTGATTTTCGACTTGTAAAGCCAAATAACTATTAAGGATATTTGACACTTCTTATGTAGACGACCAACAGAGTGACTAACACGACTAACTATGCGAAGCTAGGAAGTTACTTATAGCCTGTTGTGTATTAGTGTCTTGACTAACGTGCCTTATTTCGATTTTTTAACAGCTCCTGCGGAGATGCGTTTAAAAGAAAGGCGTGACGAGCCTCACCGCGGTGGAAGAAAGTATCGTTCGAGATCCCGTTCCAGGTGAGTATCTTCTGTCTTTACTCACTGTATCTAGGTCCTACTCCAATTCTAGACAAAAGGGAGTCGAACCGTACTATCGTGGTCGCCCTAACGATCGCCGAGATGATTCACGAAGGCGAATGAATAATGTGCGCCCCAATCGATCGGCTTCAAGATCAAGGTCTCCCACCAGGTCACGGTCGGCAAGTCATGACGGCATGGATAATGGTGATGAAGTACGCAAAGGTAGTCGACGCAATGATCGTAGAGACAACCGTGCTGTCTCCAGAAGTCCTGCACATAGGCGTGGTTCTTTATCACGATCTCGTTCCGGTTCATACTAATGTACATTTGTTGAATTCAACCATTTCATTCATCTTTGCATTTTTAATAAACGTTTATGTACACATCCAATATGCTTACCTGATTCTGTTTACCATATTTTTAGTCACAGCTCCCTGAAGTCAATTAATAAACTTCATACTCAATTTCGTCCAGTCATATGGATATTAAGTCACATGGCTTGTGTTAGTCTTTGTGATGCCTCACTACAGATCTAGTTTACCCCCGAAAACTTCCGACGAGTGGTTTCTTGTTTTCTTACCAGAGGTCGTACCGCTAGTTGGTGAGGGCTGATTAACGTTATTTAACGCTCAAATCGCTTGGGATGGAGCATACCAAAGGATCGCTTCTAGTTCTCCAATCGGGGAAGAGGCTCAAGCATCCAAGTTCCTCATCATGGATTTACTTGTGGTCTGCCATGAGCTCACGTTTTTGTCCAGTGAGTCAGCTGTCAGTATCCACAACAAGGTGATGTTCATTTTCTTGCACAAGGTATCCTAGGCGGTGTGTGAACCGAGACGTCATCGAAGCGCATGGAAGGTTGACAGGCTTTTTCTCATGTGTTCGTAGGGATGGTGTCTACGACCTGTGCTCGATGCTCCAGTGCACGTGTGATAAGACTGGTCTTCGTCCAAACTAACTTAAAAGCCGGACTGGTCAACGTTGCTTCCCTTTACTCCAAATCTTCGCATCATCTGAGAGTCAGAGTAGCAACCACCTAAGTAATCTTGGCTGTCTGTCGACATCAATAAGAGTGGAATTGTCACTGACATGAGAGGCAACATTCTCGTTTGTCCTCACTTTGCAAACTGAAGATTGAGCCGTGTGGATCTCTATTCTCTTATGAATTGGCTCATAGTGGTATCCATAACCTAAAAATGTATGTTTGAATATAATTACAGGGAGCACCGGCTATGTATCCGAAGAAAGTGGTCAGAAACCCACTTATTCTAGTGAATCGTCGATACAAAGTCGGGATGCATCTGTAAGAAGTCTACCGTAGGTAGTGTAGTACAGACCATAGTACACACTACGCCAATGATACAGATGAACCGTACGACATTGTTCACTGTGATGTCCGCTCCAAACTTCGTTTTTGAGAACTTACGCAGTAGCAACTGGAGGACTAGCTCCCACTTTACCGAAGGTTTAGTGTTTGGTGATTAGTCTGCTATCCCACAGTAGGCTTTACTCATCTGCCTTGTTTCGTTGGGTGCGACTTCGGTATTTGCGGTAACGTGCTTCCAGTGGTACCTAAGTGTATGGTTCGATAGTCACCATGAGCGAAAGTGGTAAACATACGCTTCAGGAAGTATGTCGTATTGCTACCGAATGCGTGGATAGTTTCAGTTCTGAAAAGATTGCTCTAAATCGCATCTGCTAGATGTCGAATTTGGTTACTCTGTAAGGGAAAAACTAAGTAGGGGATAGTCTAGATCTTACCTTAGAAAACCACAATGAATTATTGGGTTGGATGTAGTACAAAAACAGAAAGTGCACTGCCGTACAGTGGAGTAATGGTCAATGTGTCCAATTCCCGACAACTAGACCATAAGTTCGAGTCATGTACCACCTATTACGATATGAGTCGGTGGATAGTGCCACCGATCCTCAAAGATGAGGTCAAGTTCCAGGATCTGCACTCGATTGGTCAGTTGGATTACCGAGTTTTACTTCTTGTCAGTACTATGACAGAGAACAGCGAATAAGAGACTGATAAAAATAAGGGCTATCATTGGATATTGCGACTCTTAAACACACTACACGACAAACAACGGGGTCTGTTGATCAGATTACAATCCGTTAATTTATGTATTACGGGTCAAAGTGATATTCAAGCAGTTAGTAGATGCCTCAAGAAGTTCTGATACTCCAGCTGATTCTAAACTCGATAAAAGTCGGGCTAATATGTCGAAGAAAATACATAAAGTTGAGCGAATCTCAAAGCAGGTAAGCTGATATAATACGAAAGATAGGGAAAAAGCAGGTTACGTAGTGAGCGCCCATAAGTATTGTCTTACTAGTAAGCAACAAATAACTATGCTCTTGAAATTTTTTATTAAATCTTTTCTAACCCCATAAATTCAGGGATTAAATAAAATCGGTGTGTAAATACAATGAAACAACTATATCCTAGGGAACGATTGTATGTTGATATGCATTAAACTAGACTTATAAACAATACGTTGTCGGATGTTGAACCAATCTTAGAATTACAACTAAGGTAAAACGAGTTTCTGAGTACAATATTACTACTGTACCGTGCCGTGAATGTTATCGTGCATTGGTATACTATTATCATTATAATAAAAGAAGTGGAAATTTATTTGACAATCTGTTTATTCGAGTAGATAATAAAAAATATCAGATTAGAAAAATTGAAAGTTAGTCATAGAAGAGAAAAAAACAACGATAAAATACCAATAGTATGCGTAAAAAAGAGCTTTTCTTAGAATACTCCCAATGGCGTTAAAGATTGATCCATGAAACGACGCTTGCCAAAGCACAACCACCACTGTAATAAAAATGATAATAGACAATGAGATAAAATCAACTCATCAGAATAGCACTGACTATAGAAGCATTATCACTCACTCAGTTAGCATTCTACAGGTTACTTCAATAGACTTAACCAAAAATTCCTTTGATATACAATTGAAAGACTTGAAATCAATCACATTTATCAATACCTTTGCCTAGTCTAAGTATGAGGTTATAGCTCACTGGTTCAAAGAGCTCGGTTTTCAACCAGTTGGTCCCAGGTTTGAACTCCAATTCACTTCGAGCAGTATGACTGGCTCTCTCACACGGTGTAGGGTCAGGTCGAATAATATAAACGCCCTTTTCAAACGAGTTACGCTAAAAATATATTATTTCAGATAATGAATATGTTAATCCCTACAATTCATTTATCACTTCTCTAAATCTAATATATTTCTATGTTGCTGATTTACATCTAGTGTGCAATTTTGTGTTTTGATAGCTTGGACTGACTGCGTTGACGCCATTGCAACCGACTGACCCAATGTTGAAATGTTTTGGTTTACATTTTCGATTTTAGCGATCTTCTATGTAGGAGATCCTAGTGATTTTCCATCTCAATGACCCTTTCATAGACAAATAATATATGTATGGCGCATACTACTTCTGCAGACAGATATAAGTAGTATGTGGCAACCAAACGGAAGTAGAATGGCTGGTAGCAGAAGATTGAAATAAAAAGAAGAGAAAGGAAAATAGAGAGCGATCAGAAGAACAAAAGAATTGAAAGAATGATGGAGTATGTAAAGGGCAACTTAAGGAAGATATACAAATGATGTATTTAATGTATGACTTTCATATTTTGAGAAGAGGAGTCTCATACTAGGACAAAAAGGCCGTTCAGTGCTTTCAGGTTTTTAATCTTGATCTAAAATTTATCCATTTATATCAATCTAAGCTCAACAATCTCTACAACCCCTTACTAAAAACTTCGTATTATTAAAAATTATTTAAAGTTTTTAAAAAAAGAAAGTAAGATTTTGTTGAGAATATAAAATACCCAAATACAGTAAATCAACTTTAGAATTTCCATGTTGTTTCAAAATGGTTTTCATCATTCACAGTTAACTTTCAGTGTATTTTCCATTTGTATTGATTAGTTCACTGAGATTTCATGTTCAACTGATTGCTCGGGTTTGATAAATTCGGTAATTAATAATTACTAAATTTACTCCGTATATAATCCAGTTAACTTAAATGTAAATCAATTCTTCTTAGATTTTTACCAAGAAAGCTGGTACATGAAATTTCCTCTCTCTCTAGTAGTCAGACAGAATAGAAAAGGATCGAAGCCTTGATTATCCTTTTTATTTTTAGCTTAGTGGACAATCATATTGGATTTAACTCCATTCAATAAGAGGGATAAAAAAATAGACAACTAGTTAATTTTAGTCGACCTTTTATGGCTTGGAAAACTGGCAAATGAATGATACTTCAATGGATGACGGGAATAACATCTCATCTTTCATGAGTTGATTTCAAAAAAAATGTCTAACAAGTAGAGTAGTAATAAATTCACTTAGTATTGTATGTTTGAATCTTCCCATTGATGTTTTAGGACTGCAACTGGTCAGTCTCTAATTGGCATATGTGCATACTGTGCGTATTGCCTCGATATAGCCTAAATTCACGAGCATGGTAAGCAAAGATGGATAGTGGCTAGCAGTGGAATCCAGGACGCGCGTTTCATCCTATTTGGGACTCGTCAGCTGGATGTACCTGCATCTCAAAGTTGATGTGGCCGAGTGGATAACGCGATGGCGTTTGAAGCGAAAGGTACTGGGTTCGAGTCCCGGAATGAACATCAACTCTGAGATGCAGGTACGTCCAGCTGATGAGTCCCAAATAGGATGAAACGCGCGTCCTGGATTCCACTGCTAGCCACTATCCATCTTTGCTTACCATGCTCGTGAATTTAGGCTATATCGAGGCAATACGCACAGTATGCACATATGCCAATTAGAGACTGACCAGTTGCAGTCCTAAAACATCAATGGGAAGATTCAAACATACAATACTAAGTGAATTTATTACTACTCTAGTTGTTTGATATATTTTTGAAATCAACTCATGAAAGATGAGATGTTATTCCCGTCATCCATTGAAGTATCATTCATTTGCCAGTTTTCCAAGCCATAAAAGGTCGACTAAAATTAACTAGTTGTCTAGCCACTATCCATCTTAGGGTAGTAATAGTTGATCTAAATAGGTTATTAATAATAAGTACTAAAAAATCTGAGAAAATATATAAGAATGATCAACTACAATTTCAATGTTGAATATCTCTTTTAAAACTCAGTTGAAATAATAACTGTAAATGATTATTTTGTTGTTTTTATATACATCAATACTTAAAAGCAGTTTGAAAAATAAGCATAGAATCTCAAAATTCACGAAATACGGATGGAATAAGTGGATCTTTGAAGGTCATTCTACGGTGGATTGATAAATATATATTCTTAGTGTGTATTTATTAATTATTTAAGGTAATTTTACTGTCCTAATTGTCGATACATCGCTTACCGTTTATTAATCATCATGTAAGTATTTGAGTTATAACAGAAAGTAAATGGGTCTGCTGTTCTAGTGTTTTGATTGGACAGGTTAGGAGTAGAAGGAATTCGGGTAGGCCAATAGGCTTTAGCACACTTAGTGAGCATGATAGTTGAGCGAAGGTCATTAGTATTACTGGCGTAAATCAAAATCACCATTAGTCGACTCAAAGATTTAATGATCCTATTAAGTGAGGATATCGAAGTTGGATTCATAACACCATGTAGGGTATAAAAGTCTCTCACAAATAATCACTTTCTTACCTTACTCGGTGGGCTATTATCATCACGGTAGACTTTATCTAATAATCGTACACCTAACTCTTGTCTTAACTGAGTTAAATAACCACGCATTGTTTCCATTTCTGTGGCATTTTTCGGTTTAGCATACATATTGTTTAATTCTCGAGGAAAATCTGGATCACCTGGTATATCGAAACGACTTATGGCCATTGCAGCTAATTCTTTAGCTCCAGAAGTTCTATTTGGACACTGGTAAAAACAAAAATTTAGATTTATCATAAAATTATCTTAGAACATGAAAAGTATGAAACGGAGGTATAACTGAAATTATACTCAGTAGAGAATTAATCATTCCAATAACGTTTAAAAGCTATTTATATGCAATATATGGGAATGAAACATACATATAATTGGAGGTTATCTATATGTAAATATGTAAAACGTTTATTTCAAAGAGTTTGAATAAAACAATGAGTGGTTGATTCGTTCAAACATTCATATCCAAAAAGATTATGGATCAACACTTGACGATATTGATTTCCGTGTAAGCGATCAAGACAGCATAAACAACTAAAGATCTGACAGTTAAAGTTCAATCCACACACATTTTCAGCCATATTTTTTTAATATCAAAGATAGATAAAACGTACATAATTAACTATTATTACTACCAATTTTGGAGATAGTAGTATTCTCACAGTTGACTTCACGACTCTATCTAAGCTAGACGACCATTGAAAACATGGAAGCACTGGACGGCCATTTCGTCCTAGTATGGGACTCCTCACCAGTGCGTATCAACGATCCCGCACTCGGGACATTAACACCGTTGGACGCCAGCCTAATAGTCTAGACGTTAAGAGTTCGCGAGTGAAACGGAAGGCCTTGGGTTAGAGTCCCGCGTGTCAGATCGCAGATACGAACTGCTGAAGAGTCTCATATTAGAACGAAATGGTCACCCAGTACTTCTAGGTTTTCAATAGTGGTTTAGCTTAGATAGACTAGTGAATTCAACTGTGATTATTATTATTATTGGCTAGTTGATGGTGTTCAACCGCACTAAATGTGCAATGCTTCAATTTTCTAATTATAATAATGGTAAGAATCTCCTAATACGCTATAAACAATAACTTTTTTCAAAATTAGAATCACAATCGATGTATATCACATTATAACTATGTCTGTTAGCAATGTTGACGTATAATTAATTCAGTAGTTTATATTAAGAATGGAATTTTCTACATAATTTACATACGTATACTGCAATAGAAGTTATTAAAAATGAACAATAATGATGTAGGTTGTAGAAGAGGAAATTGATATACAATAATGAATCATTTACAAGAAAATACAAAATTGAACGAATTTTTATCGTGTAGTTGAGACCAAATATTTTTTTTATTTAAATGTTAATTAAGATAGGAAACTTGGCAACTTGGACCGATGCATATGTGTGCCTGGTCCTACGTTGTAGCTGACTGACTGACTGACCAAGATAGGAATTAATTATTGAATTATGAATTAAATTTATAGGCCATTATTTATCGATGGAATTTTTTTTATACATCACTAAATATTGACTACAATCCACCGATTACCACGACACGCTATGTTGACTAGTTTTGGGGATGATTGGAAGAAAGTTAGGGGCGGCCAAACCAAAACATGGCATCAGAGCTTGAAGTCACCAACTTCTAGTCTAAGCCATGTTGGTAGGTGCAGACTACTTGGTTGGGGTCCGCGCGACTATCGTAACCAATGGTTGGAGACTCTAGGTGACATGGCTTAGAATCGATCACAATAGCGTACGTGTATACACTCTTTATCTCATCTTAAACCTTGAGATTAAAATTTCTTCATACCCGTCTTTCTTCCTATACTATATCCTTATATACAACCTTTCTTTTATATATTACCACCACTAAATTAACTACTTCTATGAATCCGGTGTTCATCTTGAAGTGCTAACGAGGTATGGAAACTTGGACCGATACATATATGTACCTGGTCCTACATTGTAGCTGACTGACTGACTACAATCACTTTATGATTATATTTGGTATGGTCAAATCATGGAGCACGATAACTGTGTTTTGTCCATAGTTTTAAGTTTATATTTCAGTGCAACGCATTTACAGAGTATGAGTTTATTTAATCGTATTTGAGCAACATTATTTATGTGAGGTCTGATGATACTACACAGCTGCTCAAATTCAAGTAGGTTAAACAGGATTTGAACCTGTAATCTATTGGTTGAAAGTCGAGTCGTTTAACTATTAACCGCCCCTATTATGTTTGATTTAACTTGAGCCTTGTTAACTGTATTTCAGTAAGTCTTGGTGCACAGTCAAGAAGTCTAAACTCAAGGACTATTCAATAAGACTAAGCTAAACTTAATGGCATTCCGTCAGAAAATCAGAGTCTATGATAATTACTAAGTCACATATTCACTACTGAGTAATAGTTGAGAAAATATATAACTAAGGAGAATGGTCTTGATGAAGTTTCACTATCTGAACTAGGCGATTTAATGGTGGAATTTTTATGAAAGTTGTTGGCAACAACTAATCAGATTCAATTTTGACAGAACAATTTACTAGTCACCTGTGGGGAAGTTTTATTAAATCATTTCTTTTTTAAGTTTATGCCGATGTTGTCTTGTAGGACAGTTCGAGTCTCACGATTAAACCATCAATCTCAGAGGACACGACTTCACCAACGTTTACAGTAATTTTAAGAATGAAGACAAATTTAAACATACCCTTTGTAATTTTCTTAAGCATTCCAAAATATATAAAACGAGATAAACAAGTACACGATCAGCTTCACTCTGAATTAACAACAATGAAAGAAAACGAAAATTTAATACATATGTTGAAAAGTTACACTGAAGTGCTACATCCACATAAGAATTACATAATAAAAAGGAGATATTCAACACAGAAGAATAGTATTTAAAGTGAATTATTAAAACATTTGTGACATCTACTTTCCATTCATTACACTTGAACTAGACGATTGCTAAAATGATCCAACAAATAATCGGTTACGATATATTAAGTCAGTGTTTGAAATTTTTTTTAAATGATCTCTTCGACAAACTGATTAGTTCAACATAACTATATTTAAATCAATTCTTCATTTTAATATATCATTCTTAAAAAATGTAATCCCTACGCACACTATATACATAAATCTAATTTTGTATGTAATAAACATTAACAATATATCAATTTTAGAAAAACAGTTCATAATACTTGATTATTAGCTTCCACTATGTCAGGCGAGGATTGGCAAAGCAAGAACCGCATTCCTACAGCTGAAGAACATATGAAACTCAAAACAACTCTCAACCAATATCAAAGTCAGAATCTTAAATACGAACGTCAAAACAGTCCTACTGTATGGAGCAGAAACGTGGAGAACTACTACATCCATCGTCAAGAATGTACAAGTATTTATAAACAGTTGTCTACGCAAAATACTCAACATCCATTGGCCGTATACTATCAGCAACAGCGTTTTATGGGAGAGGACAAACCAGATCCCAGCTGAAGATGAAATTAGGAAAAGACGTTGGAAGTGGATAGGACATACATTAAGGAAATCACCAATGTGCATTATAAGGCAATCCCTAACTTAGAATTCGGAAGAGAAGCGGAAAAGAGGAAGGACAAAGAACACATTACGCCGGAAAATAGAAGCAGATATGAAAAGGATGAATATTAACTGGAACGAACTGGAAAGGATTGCCTAGGACAGGGTTGGATGGAGAATGCTGGTGAGCGGCCTATGCTCCTCCACGAGGGGTAATAGGCGTAGGTAAGTAAGTATGCCAAGAAAGATTATGAAGTATAGTATTCATATGCGAAGTTTTTTATCATAATTTTTATGAAAGTGAGAGATACTATTTATTTATTTATTTAAACACATAAATATTGGTACAAGGAAGCACCAGATAAATATGCGCCTCACAAATCTCATTTGGTTTGTGTGAAGGCTGTGATACTGCCCAGGTGCCCAGACTGAAGCAGGAACATTAGGTTTCTTAAAGCAAAATACTTCTAATCAGATTTGAACCACTAACCTAATAGTCGGATGTTTCTTTGTAACTGTTAAGCTAGCGCTTTGCAACAAAAGTGTATAAGAAAATATAGAAATCAATTTGAATCAGTAGTATTTCCACCAACCATTTGGCAATTGCATGGTATGGAAGCTATTTTGTTAAAGTTTTCGAATTAATGTATTCATGACAGTAATTAGAGATTAGTGTTTTGATTTACTTGAAATCATTGTTAAACTAGGATCAAGTCAAATGTGTGTTTGGTTGAATTTCCAAATTACGTTCTTATGAGTTCATCAATTTCCGTAGAACTACCATAATGTTTTCAGCCAAGTAATAATGTTTACATTTGGAATGTAGATAATGGTGTACCGTGAAACTTAAATAGACAGTCTCTAATTGTTGTCATTAATACATTAATTCGAAAATTTTAACAAAATAGCTTCTATCAAGGGAACATAAATCTCAATCAAATGATCTTTTAGAGAACAAAGATTATTATTGCTTCCTTCAGATAAAATTGCTAGGATCATTCTTATAAGTCGAGGAGACTATTGATAAATTATCCTTCACACTTAATAATGCAGAAAAGTTCTCTAAGCAACCAGCAAAAAGGTGCCACCGAAAACACCGGACAGAAGTTGACTATAATTCTGAAAAAGATGGAAAATGATTCATTTGTGATAAAAACAGTGACTTTATTAAATAATATAAACCCACTAGAGGTCTAGGATTGTTACTCATTGGCAGCTATTTGAGCCACTGTTGAATAAACTTGGAAGTAATTACTGATCTAACCATCGAATTGACCATATAAAAAGCTAAATAATTGTTACTGATTTGCTTAATTACAAACAAGACAAATGTTCAAGGTCAGTATGAAGCTCGTAACTGTAATAAAAGATAAGTAATGACAATCCACTTTCTTCTAGTCACATATCTACATACACTAGGTAACAAGAATGATATTTAAATATTCTAGTCACTCTGTGTCATATGAAATAATGGTAAGTAGTTTATTTATTTATTTGAACACATAAATATTGGAACAAGGGGGCACCAGATATATATGAGTAGTACTGAACTCAACAAAAAAGAGACCGCCACATAATTCATATCATGATTATATATATATATATATATATATATATATATATATATTTGCTAAGTAGTGTGGTGTTTGCATGTTTAAAAGTGACAAGGTGTGCTCAAACTGTAGTACACTTAAATCTACTTATAGGTCAGTTACTTGGCGACTATGGTCAATAACTCGTGAAGTCATGCTAAAGATCTATAAGTTATGATATAGTCCTTAAACTTACCAAGTTAACTGATTAGTATGACATATTTTCACTAATAAATATTAAATCTGTGATTGTCAACGTTCTTTTACTACAATATTTCACAATTATGGCACCAAACAGACCAACCATATGATATAACAGCATGAGGAAAAATTAAAAAAACTGTATCAGTTGGTAAGTGTCAAATGAGTCTTCCATTTTGTTAGTAAGTGAATAATGTAACTGATTTACCAAATACAAGTTCATATTCTCGTCTTTGAGCCACGCTTTAGATGTATGGGACTAATGACAGATACTATCGGGCTGCTGAAACTGAAGTAGGTGAAGCGACACTTGAACCTAAGACCCACTGGTAGTAAACTGAATGTTTAACTATTCATGTCACAGCTCAATTCTGTGGTGTAAATTAACTCCTCCCCATGGTAATTCTATATATAGTTATCTATCTGCTTGTGAAGAAAAACTCTGGTTAATGAAATATTTATCAAGTTATCGAAATTAGTTGGTAGGCTGGGAAGTGAATAAACTCTTAATTTCAACCAGTTTTAGTAAGCTAATAAATTTCTTAAAAAACAAAATAACCCAAGCAAAAAGGGAGTATGAATAATAAATAACTACAACCAACCATTTTATTAACTGCAAGTAACTATGAGTTTTTGTACTAAGAATATACTTCGTTGGTCAGGTGTGACTTCTTGTAATACAAAATTTAGAGCTAATTTTTCCACGAAACCTTATAACAATTGAAAGGGCACATACTATGACAAAACAATGAAATTTATTTGGGTTAGATGAATAAAATGTAACCTTACTTTTAGTTCGTACTGTCGAAGAAATATGAGTGATTTAAAAAGATAGAGAGCTTCGTCAATAATATCTTTTTCCAAATCCATATTCATAGGTGCAGGTCCTCGAAACTTTGTGCGTAAGGGTAGTAGTGCCATATTTCCAATGGTATTTGGTGCAGGCACAAATTCTGAATGATGAACCTTTGACAGTAAGTAAAGTAACAAATTAGTCACGAATGACTCAGTTTCACAAGTGGTAAAAATAGTTTTAGTAACACCGTACACACCTGATATTTATTTCCTAGTAATCATACACTTACACATCTCATGTATGCTCGTGTGTCTGTACACCGATTGTTGTATCAAATGTATGTCTCCTTTTCATGCTCTATTTTGAGTCATGTTAACACTTGTAATGAGTAATGTTTTGAGTAAGCACATCTACCATCTCCGCTTCTCACCAACTAGTTTTTTTCTCAAAACGACTGCATGAAATATAAACATCTGAAATACTCCTCTTTGACTTGTTATAACCCCACTGTTATTGACGAGGTTTGTCGACAGGATATATGCGAAGCAGGGTCTGTGTTTCGTTGACATCATTACCGACTTTATATTGAGGTCAAATGGGGATCAAAAAGAGTACTGAGATTCAAAATTGAGAGGAGTATAAAGAGTGAGTGTATCTGCGTTGCTGCGAACGATTATGAGCAAAATCAGCCATCGTCCATTACCATTGGCTTCGATCATTACGAGAACCACAGCCTGGTAGTCTTTACTCACCAACACGCCTCAGTCCAGTGGATAGCGATTTTATGAATTAATGTCATACCTTGGTTTGGGAGCTCCTAGCTTTTTTCAGCCTAATCCTACACCATCCAATATCGTGCCTCGAGGTAGGTGAAGTATACCTAAAATATGCTCTAACCACCTTAGTTGATGAAGACTACTTCACAAACCGATCTATTACGTTTGTCTAGTTTTCTATGCCTAACATTAATATAGCTTACTTGGTTGCTATTCGAAACGTGAGCAATACTTCAAAGGCGTCTATAATAAAAAAGCTTGCACTTGTCCTTCAGTTGGCACGTAAGCGTCTCTATTATTTATGAAAAACTTGGTATCTAACACAAATGTGCATCCACTGAAGTTACCGCAACCATTTGTGGGCTCTAGAAGTTTTGACGCCTAAAACGCCTTGCCTGCATAAATGGCAAAGGTAGTTATACTTAAGATAAGGCTGAAAAAGTTTACCAGACTTCATTATGTACCCTGTTGCTTTTACGAAAAGTATCTTCTTAAATATACTGGAAGACAATCTTGGTGGCTAAAGGACTCGGCCTCTGATCAATAACTTGAATCGCTTTCCACCAAATTTGGGTTGGGCAGATTTTCACCGCTAGTATCCCATTTAATTAGTGTAGAGTCTACGGACATGGCATATAATAATGTGCTTAATAATTGAATCACTGTGTAATTAATTAGTTGTCATATTAGAGACGAGACACAATGACCGCTCAAAATGGTGCATTATGTGTGGATCGTTTTTTATGTACCCATTTTCGAAATACATCTTAAGGACGTCAGATGACGTCTCTTCAATTGTTAAACCGATGTTAGGCAGATCTCATATGTGGTAAACCAATAACCTTTAATCTAAGAGAAAAATATGATGCTAAATACAAATTGTAAACAAATATATTATTCGTGTCTTTCATTTAGTTGCCTCAACTTTCACACTGACTGGCACCATGAACCTGACAGCTGAGTACACCCATGGAGCACTATAGGCCAAAAAAACTCAAGAACACCTGAACAGTTATTAGTGAGAGGTTACGTCATATATTGAGCTACGGGTAATATAATTGTTTCCAAAATTAACATACAAACATAATGACTCTTCAAGAGGTTCCGCAATATTTGAATGTGGCGGCTTATGATAATCAGTCTTCTGTAATAAGGATAGCAGATCTATTGACCTATACTAATCCTTGCAGTTTGTTACGCTGCGGAGGTCCAATCTCGTTTTGAATGCATCAGCAGAAGGTTTTGATATTACCTGTTCTGCTAGAGAATTTCAGTAATTCACTACTCTGTGAGAGAAACGATGCTCCAGACGTCGATGTTTTGATCAGTCCTAGACGGAAGGAAAAGATAAGACATATTAATATCAATGTCATAGTTCACGGTACAATAGGTCAATATTAGGTCACCCCATATTCTACAGTAAGATAACAGGAGTAAGTTGACGTATTTCAGTCTCTCTTCATAACATAGGTCAGAGAAACCTTTTACCATCTTAGTTCCTCGGCGCTGAACTTGTTCCAGCATATCCGCCTCATATTTGAAGCAAGGACTCGCTGCTTGAATCCCATATTCCAAATGTCGCACGAAAGTGGGATATAATAATCGAAACATTTCCTCATCCAAATACTGGAAAGATCTACAAATAGACCAAAATACCCTATAGCCTTTTGCAGCAGCAGCAGCCTTACAGTGCCTGGTTGACTTGAGATCATTGCTAAGTATGACTCTTAAATCTTTATAGTTTCTTACTTTGGTTAACACAAATCCATGTGTTGCGTAGTAATATGAATCATCGTAGTTATTTAGTTGCATCACTACACTCTTGTTAGGATTCACTTCCACTGACCACCCGTCCATCCATGCCACTAATGATTTGAGTCATCATGCATTACTATTCTATCTGACATGCTGTATATGGGTCTTCAAATCTTTATGTCATCGGCAAAAAGTAGGACGGATGACTTAGCTACAGTTGGTAATTCATTAACATAAAGTAAAAAGAGAAGAGGACAGAGGATTGTACCTTAGGGAACTCCACTCTTTACAGCTTCCCACGATGAGAGAGCCCCATTTACTCTTATCCTTTTTCTCCAGTCATGTGGGAAGTCACGTATTCATTCTATGACTGTATAATGAACTCCAAAGCTTTCCAGTTTTAATTTAAGACCAGAATGGGAGACCTTATCAAAGGCTTTACTTAGATCTATGAAAATCACATTTACAGGAATATTCCAATCTTTTACCTCAGCCCGATTTTCTCTTGCAATGAGAGAATTTGTCAAACATGATAGGCATTTCGGAAAACCATGATGTTCCCTGGATAAAAGATCATGTCCTTCCACATAGTTTATAACAGCTGTCCGAATAATTATTTCCATCAGTTTTTATAACTGCACCAGTTAAGCTAACGGGTTGATAGTTACTAACTAAATCTCTACTCTCAGCCTTATACACCGGACTAATTATCGCGTCTTTCCAGTCGCTGGAAGTGGATAGGACACATTGAGGGAATCACTCAACTGCATCACAAGACAAGCCCTCACATGGAATCCTGAAGACCAAAGGAAAAGAGGAAGGTCAAAGAACACATTACGCCGAAAAATGGAGAAAGACATGAGAAGAATGAACAACAATTGGATGGAACTAGGAAGGCCCAGGACAGAGTGGGTTGGAGAAGGCTGGTCGGCGGCCTATGCTCCATTGGGAGTAACAGGAGTAAGTAAGTAAGATATTATCCTTAGTCCTTAAGAATATGTCAAGTTCTCTCTTAAAGGACTCCTGGAAAGTCGCTTGGACTAGCTCAACCGGCAGCGAATTCTAGCATCTGACTACTCTTAAGGAGTAGAAGTGGTGTCTCCAGTCCGTTCTGCTGTGTTGTGTCTCCAGTTTGTGGGCGTTACTCCTAAAGTTTATGTTAGGACTAAGCTTAAAGTGTTTAAGGGGATGTCCAGAAGTGTTAAGGATGCTGAAAACCATTAGAAGGTCACCTTTAAGACGCCTGTGCTTTAATGGGTAAAGGTTCAGTGATTGGAGGTGCTCTTCATAAAGCTTGAATTTGAGTCCCCGAACTGGTTTCGTAGCTCGCCGTTGGATACGTTCCAGAGTGTCCTTATCCTTTTGGAGTGAGGGATGAAATACTGTGTTTCCGTACTCTAAATGGGGATCAATAAAACTGTTGAAGATTGAATGGAAAGTTCTTCCGTTGAACTGGTCAAAAGTGCGATTCAACCATGACAAGGTCTCAAAAATTCTTTTAGCCTCGACCACATAGCTTCAATAATGTTAGTATATTGGTACGGTTTAAGATTTAGGGTTGGAGTTAAGGTTTAGGGCTATGGGTGAGACTATAAGTAATGGACAACCTTTGAGCGACGCTAGAGTGACTCTGAGAGTGTCAACACAATAACTAAGACCAAATGAGAGTATAAACCTGTGTGAAGAATTCAAATTATGATTTACAGTTCATGGTTAAGGCTAGGAATTATACTTAGGGTTTTAATCACGAACTGACATCAGCTATAATGCCAAAACTCTATTTATCCAAACGGATAATTGAATTTCACGCCAAAATCTTATGATCACTTCTCTTGTAGACGCTGAATTATCACTTCTTCTCTAAAATCCACTGTAAACCGATCGTACGTAAGCATCAGGTACCGAACTTAGCGCCGTGACCTTGAAAACCCGCGAAAGCTTCTGATTGGCTCTGCAGTATACTTTAATCCTACCATCGTAGGGTACCAGCACTCCTAAATCGTTTGCAACCAGGTATGCTTCTAGAGAGGAGTCTGCAACATGTCTCAGATAGACTACTTTACACTTTGAAGTGTTAAGGATAAGTCTGTTATCATCTGCCCAACTTTGAAGCCGAGTCAGATCCTCCTGAAGTGCCAGTATATCCTCTTGGTTGAGTATCGGTGATTGGATGTCGGGGTGACTGCCTTCTTATTTTGTGCACACACATGGTACATGTGTCATATTGCTGGCTCTAAGTATAGTAGACCTGATTTTTCAAAGACATATATGTCCGGTATATTAAACATATTTGCATTGCAAGATCGTCTTATCCTTTCAAACACCTCTGAAGTAAGACATTTGAGGAAAGTATTTGCATCATTCATCTGATATGGAGTCTCTGTGAGAACGGAGTTGATCAGATACTTAAGCGGACTGATAATTTTCATGTCAACCTGCAATTTTCTTATATCGTCTATATGGTTGCAGTTGTGATTATCATCATTGTTTACCAACAGAGTAATCAACATGTCTGGAATGATGAGAACTGGCATATGCATGTCTTTGTTTGTATCAGGCTCTTTGTGATTGGGAACAAGTCAATCAGTTTGTGATATTGAGGTCGTTCTCCTGCTCTCATCATTCAGACTCATGTTTCCAATGCACCGCTATATGGGATAATGGGACAATTATCTTCATCAGCCGGGGTCGAATCACCATCCTTCTGAGATGGTCTCACCACATGTTGAGTCCTCTTTCTGGGCTTTAAGAACTACTAGATGAGTTTCCAGTCACCAATATCAGAGTTTAAGTCCAGGGTCATTGTTTCCTGGCACACCTTGCACAATGTTGTTTCTTCTGCTAAAGAACGTCTCATGATATTACCTAGAGATGTTGCTGATGAGATTGTACCCAGAATACCGTATACTAGTCAGTATTCGTACATTTCCATCTAATTTCAGTAGGTGACTAGCCAGTAGGATACCTTCCACGTCGACAGCATCGGTGAGCACTACACGAAGTAGTCTTGGGTGATTCTGATGTTTGGAGTCCTTTCTGTGAGTGGTTTGGGTGACGGTCAAAGGCTTCATTTTGAAAAGTTCGAGCTCCCTGTTTAACTCTTTCCAGAGCATCTTGTAATTTTTGTACTGAAGACTGAGAGAAAGGTCGGAGCGGTCTTTAAGGTTCATGATTATAAAAGAATCATCGCGATCCGTGATCGTTTTCCCAGGTTTTGGATACGCCCAATTCGAGGACTTTTTTGTTTGGCAGTTGAAGCGCGTTTTAGATTCCTGTCTTCCTTGTTGACTGGCTGGATAGCCTTAGGCGTTAACTTCACGGCCAAATCACCAGTTAGTTTCACCACAACAGCTAGGATGTACAAGGAATGTTCATACCATGTGGAAGACCGGGAGGGTCATCCAAGTTGCTGCATAAATGAGAAGATACAACCTGGAATTGCGTGGGATCAGTGAAACACATTGAACCCAGGCTGAACAACAAAGACTAGCTTCAGGAGAGCTTCTGTTATACTCCGGTCATGAAGAAGAAAACGCTCCATATGCAAATGGCGTTGGGCTGATGCTATCCAAACATACACAAAATGCACTTATGGTATGGGAATCTCATAGACCAAACATCACCAAAGCCTCCTTCAAAACAAAGAAAGAAGACGATATAATGAACTTTATCTAATACCATGCGCCGAACAACGACTACAGTGAAAACGTTAATGATCAATTCTCATGTATATTTCTCGTGTATACAAACGATATGTGTAACATCATAAAATCTGGGAAATCATACTTATATGCTGATGACCTCAAAATGGTATACAGCTATAAGCCTGATGCTCCAAGTGAAAGTGTACCTTTGATTCAAGATGATCTCAATAACCTAACTATCTGGAGCGAAAAGTGGGAATTACCATTTAATCTCCACAAATGCGGGATCATGCACTTTGGAAAGCACCCCTATGAACCCCAACTTCAATTAAATAAAAGCAAAGTCCAGACACTTAATTCAGTACACGATCTAGGAATAAATTACACAGGAAGCCTAAACTTTAAAGCACACGCCTCCTCTATTATTTCTAAAGCCAGACGTCTAATTGGCTTCATAACGAAAAATTTATTCACGACAGATGCTAAGCTTACCCTTTACAAAATATGTGTAAGACCTTCCTTAGAATACTGCTCTTTTATCTTCTCTAAAATGAATACCACTGACAAAATAAGAGTAGAAGATGTTCAAAGACGCTTTACACGCCAACTGCTAGGAAGTGACACCACTCTTGATTACACAAGTAGATATAAGCACCTCTCTTTAGAACCTTCAAGGAACAATCTGATATTTCTCTACAAAGCAATAA